GCCTGAGGACATGAGACTCCAGCTCCTTCACTCTCCCAAAGTGGTCTCTGCCAGTGACTTTCCAGCAAGTATCCAGAAGCCTTTGGTCCCAGACTAGGGTAGCATCATTGATCCCTCTTGTTCTGAGGCTTTGGTGTTTTGGACTGCACAGCTACTGGTTACTACAGCTCTCCAGCCTGCAGATGGCCATTGTGGTACTATACAGCTTCTGGTTGTATAAGCCAATCTAATAAACCCCCTTTTATAATCATTCTTATATATACATATATGTATCTCCTGTTGGTTCTGTTCCTTCTAGAGAACTCTGACTAATACAGGCCCTGTGGCAGGGGKAACTATAAGGACTTAACGGAGTTCACCCTTTCCCAGTCATCTGTATATATGGATAATCATATGGGAGACCTGTCATACACTGAGCCCTTCAAGGTAGGTTGTGGGAGAAAATATCAACCAAACCTGGGTTTTATTTTGTTCAATTCTTTGGTAACAGAGATTGAACTCAGGGGCACTTAACCACCGAGCCACATCCACAGCCCTTTTTTGTATTTTATTTAGAGACAGCGTTGCTTAGCGCCTTGCATTGCTGACGCTGGGTTTGAACTCACGATCCTCCTGCCTCAGCATCCAGAGCCTGGGTTTGTTTTTTGCAATCTCAGGGATTAAACCTAGAGCTATGAGTATACTAGACAAATGCTCTACTACTGAACTACATCTCCCAACCCCTTAGCAGTATTTTTTTTTTTTAATGTTCAGGAATGTGATGGGGATTGCCCTTTGATGTAGTAAAAGCACTCCTTGAAATTTAATAATGACAAAAAAGTAAGTAACAGTTCAAAAGGGGAATTCAGGCTCTGTTCATGAGAACATTTACTATACAGTCTAATAGCAAAAAGTTTGGAAATCATGGTCACAGGACTTTSCCACAGAGCCTTTGGAAACAAAAAATTCCAAAGTCCTGATCATTTGAGCCTGTCATACTAAGATGATTTCTAACTTTCTTTAATGTTATAATGTTTTAATAAACAAAATCCATTAGCAACAACAAATTTATTAATTACCTGATACTGTACATTTGAGAGAATCTGGGACTGATGAGCTCTACACCTTGGCTATGGCCAGGACACAAAAGTGCATCTTTGTAAATGTGGCTATTTTTACTTCATGTAGTTCCCTTAATTTATGTTCACAATAGATTTTAGTAAATATGCAATCTGGGGTTTTTGTTGTTGTCCTTTGTTTTTTAATATTGTCCCACCCCAGGACATCCTCCAGAAAGCAATTTTCAGTCAGAATTGTATTGACTGTCTTGAGATGAAAAACTGACAAAATTCCCATCAAATAAAAGATATGCCATTACCCAGCCTGAAATGCAAATACCTCAATTTGCCTTTGAGCTACCTAAGAAAGCATCTTATTTTAACCTCCTAATTCTTACACTTCCTAAAATTCCCAAATAAGTCRGAGGTGATATGGTTAAGATTTCAAAATCAATAGAGCTTAAAAACTGGGGAAGGTAGGGGGTAGTGGAGATTAAACCCAGGGGAACTTTACCCCTGAACTATTTCCCGAGTTCTTTTTTATTTTGAGACAGGACCTCACTAAATGGCTRARACTGGCCTCAAATTTGTCAAATTTGGGAATACTCCTGCCTCAGCTTCCCTAGTCACTGGAATTATAGGCATGTGCCACTATGCTTGGCTAACAAAGCTAAAATTTTAATTTAACATCTCCTATTACCTATCTTATGTTATACAAAGTCCTAAACAAAGTATTGGGCATGGAGGGACTCAATAAAGGGATATGAAGCAACCAGGGGTTTCTGAAGGATCTTTCTGGAACGGACTTGTCTTTGAGAAGCCTATMCCCTAGTTCAGTCAGTGGAGGAGCGCAGCACCACAAGGGACCTACAAGCTTAGGAATAGCCCATGAAGAAAGTAAAAACCCTTCTAATCAAGTCTATCACTCCAGCACTGGAAAAACTGACCCACAGGATACTGGGCTGCCTAACGACCATAAAAACATCTTGATCTGGACAACTTCACTCTTTAAAAAGTCTTGTCCTATCCAAGGCCTGTTCCTACATCATAGTCTATACTATAGTATGCCCATATCATCCCAAGAGCAAAACTCTACTTTCAACCACATTGATTAAAAAATAATAAGCAAAAGGTCTACATACACTACACATATTTCATTAAATGGCATCTGGGAGCTAAAAACCAATATGCTCTCACAGAATTCACACTTGAGGAGGATGGGGATAATGTAAGTCAATTGTTCAAATCAACTTTTTCTACAAAATGTGAACATTTATTGTTTGATAGAAACACTGTTGACATTGTCCCCAACAAGAGATAAGTCCGGGTTTTGTTCTGAAAAGATATAATCTATGCAATTRCACTGATTAATTTTCATAATAATTCAGATTAGTGTTACTATTAAATGACATTCCACTTAAAAATTTAAATCATCAGAAGTAAACTACATTTAATTAAAATATATAATTATGATGGAGGGGCAACACTTCAATCACATTTCCTTAGAGACAGAAAATATTAATCAGCAATAATGACAGTTAACATTTATTACACACCAATTAAGTATCTAATGAGATAGCTGCTGATTTTTATATGTTATCTCATTCTCTTAATCTTTCAAGAGAGGTACCAGCTCATTTTCCAGACAAACCTCGGGCTTATGGTTGACTTTTATCATGAGTGGTACTGTTAGAGCTGGTTGTAGCAGCTATGGGAGATTTTTTTTTTTTTTACCATTAAGATGACACACACAGGTAAGTCTCACACATGTTTGACCACCTGGGGAATTTTATTAAAATGCAGATTATGATTCAGAAGATCAAGGTAAATGAAGCCCCTGATTCCAAGAAGCTCTCAATCTCAAGGACTGACCTTTGGGGCACTTTACCACTGAGCTACATCTCAGGCCTTTTTATTTTTGAGACAGGGTCTTGCTAAATTGCTGAGGCTGGCCCTGAACCTGTAATCCTTCTATCTCAGCCTCCCAAATCACTGGGATTACAGGCATAAACCAGCACAACCCAGACAAAAACCCAGATTTTTATCAAGGCTGAGCATCCAAGTACAACAAGACCACCAAGACACGCCCTTCAAGTAGGTAGGTCCCTTTCTCTCTCTCTCTCTCTTTCATATATATTTAGTTGTAGATGGACACAATACCTTTATTTTATTTTTATGTGGTGCTGAGGATAGAATACATGCTAGGTGAGCACCCTTACCACTGAGCCACAACCCCAGCCTGCTGGCTATCTCTTGATGTTTAAATTCTAAAGAACAGACAAATTACAGAATTAGGAGAGATTTTAGGGGCTGAGCCCCAAAGTTCTTTCAGATTAAAGCCCCAAAAACCACAATAGTACTTTTCTGAAAGGTAAATAAATACCATTGACTTCCATTCCTGGCCATAGGTAAAATGTCCCACTAATGAGGTGATAATGCACACTCTGTACAAACTACTGAATTTCAATTATTTTACTAGATCTGTTGAGTGGCAAGTTAGTTTTCCAGTGGCAAGTTCGAATTTACTTTCAGAGGCCCACAGAGTAAACAAAGCAAGGTACTTGACAAGGTATTGTATTCCAACCAGGTCCAAGTTCAGTCCTACTGGGCCCATTTCTGATCATCTGTACTGTATTCAAACACTGGCTAGCTGCTACTTTTAAAAGTGATTATAGCTCCTCCCCACCTCCTACATTCTCTTTGCTAACAGCAATGATACCTAACTACAAAACCAATATACCTTTGAGAACATTCTGGTTTACTAGATTAAGTTCAGTTTAAAAGTCTAGACAGATAACCTACTCCTTTTATCTTTCTTCAAAATTCTTCAAAAATACCCCCAGCAATCATCAGAACAAGCCTCTCATCCATGACAGAGATAAAACAGTCTGTGATTCTGTGATTTACAAACATTGGGACCTTTATTTAAAGGGTGTTCACACACGATATTATTCCCAAAGAATGTTTATGTATGCACCCAAGTAAGTAAGCACAGGAGGACCAATGCTTAAAGCAATGAAATACTCATACATTGCAGTTCCATACAAATGGCTTTTGAGGCTAGGGAGGTCTACCTGTGTAGAGGAGTATGTGGGACACACAGGTTTTTCAAGCTGCAGTATGCCTTGTCCACAATTGAGCTAAGCAACAGCCCAAAGAGCCCTGTCTAAAAGGAAAAGAACTGACAGACCCATCCCCTGAACACCATGAGGCTAAAAATCAGGACCCTGAGAAATGAGTTCTACTATGGACAAGTCCAACAGAAAGTTCCCTGTTTCTGTTACCTCCAAAACTGGCTGCCCTACTGGAGTGAATTAACTCTGGGTATCAACTGGGCAGTGCCAGACATCGGTGTTGGGCAGAGGATTCCGGGATGCAGAGGACTCAAACCTCTGCAGTAGAAACTGGAGACAGCAGGCAGATCTAGGCTCTCCACTGCATTTGGGCTACATGCCTCCCATTCAACAAATATTTACTGAGTGTCCACCATACACTAGGCACCCTTCTAGGCGCCAGGGAAGAAAGCAAGCAGCAGTCCTCAGTCTCCAGAGACCGAGGCAAAGACCGTACGGTGGCTGAACGGGGCCCCTAAAACCTGCCACAGGTTGCTAAGCCAGAAAACCGCAAGATCCCTGGCGCCAGGCTCCACACATCACCAAGTCCAGTAATGAAGGCGGGAGTGGACAGGTAGGCCCGGGGACAGGTATGCAGGTAGACGACACACCTGAGGCTACCAGTTTGGGGAGTGCAGGCTCTGGCCGTGGGCCAAAGAACGGGGTAAGGGAGGACGGCCTGGGAACCCTGCCCAAGAGAGGGGTACGAGAAGCAGGGGCTCTGGCCCCGGGACGCGGCGGAGGCCGGCGGGGCCTGCGCCCCCGCAGCGGGAGTGGGAGCGGGGCGCGCGGAGGGAAGGCGCGAGGCTAGGCCGCCGGCCCCGCACCTGGGGCCCCACCCGGCACCTACCACTTGGGCGACCTTGAGGCGGCCGAGCGTGCCGCGCAGGTAGTCGGGGTCACAGCGCAGGCCGGCCAGCCCGCGGCGCTGGCTCACCGGCTCGGTGGTGGGCTGGTACGGACTGCTGGCGCCCGAGATCATGGAGGTGCTCGAGGCCTCGCCCTCGAAGCCGTCCAGCTCCTCGCCGCTCCGCATGCTGCCGCCCGACCCGGGCCGCCTCGCGCGGCGGGCCCCTGGCGCCAGGAGCGGGCGGGCTCAGCGGGGACGCCGCATCGCCGCCGCCGCCGCCGCTGCCGCCCGACTGCCCGCCGCGGCCCGCCCCGCYGCCGCCTCTGCGCCCGCCGCCCGCTGCGGCCGCGGCTCGGTCCGCTCGGGCTCGGCTCCCGCCGCCTCGGCAGCGGAAAGGGAGGGAGGCGGGAGCGGGCGCAGAGGGAAGGAGGCGGGAGCCTCGCGCCGGCCGGGAGGGGGCGGAGCGAGTGCCCGCCCGCTGGCCGCTCGGCGGCGCTCCGCGGCCAGGCGAGGTGCAGGCTGAGGGGCCGCGCCTCGGCCTCAGGGGCGGGGCGTCGTCTTCTTGGCCCCGCCCCCAGCCCCGCCCTCACCTGCGCCGCGCTCTGGCCGAGCCACTGGTGGTCGCCGGTGGTCCAGGCTCTCGAGAACTGGGATTCCGGAAAACCGGTCGTGGGGACCTGGAGGAATCGAGGGAGGGTCGAGGAGGGTCGAGGAGGGCCGAGGAAGCAAGGAACTGCTTTCCTAGGGCCTCAATTTCTCCTTTGGAGAAAGTGGAGTCCTCAACAGGTAGCTGGGGGACTTACCGGTGAGGACCAAGATGAGATGTGCCACCTGAATGAAGACAAGAGTGACGGACCAGATGGGAAAGTGTGTGGGCTTCTGCACGGGGCGCCCTGCAATAATCCAGTTCTGAGGAACAGCAGACTAAAGTGAGGGGTCGGGATTAGTAGAGTCTCCAGGACCCACACAGGTCCCGTCTGAATTCTGGACCCCTAGCCTGCTGAACACAATAGGTTCTTGGTGACTAATGCTGTTTCCTCTCTTGCCTCAAAAGGTTTTGCTACCTCTGTCTCAGCATCAAGCCAGGTTAAACATAGATTTTGCCCTGAAGACATTAATTAGGGACCAATTTGCAATTCAAGTGTGAAGACTAATTTTAAGTTCAAGTAAAACGCTAGCTTTCTAAGAATTGTCACTTGAATACTGAACCCTTCCACACCACATATATCTAGGGCTTCCCTTGCTCTAGGCACTGAGCAAGGCACTTGGATAGGGTGTTAGTATTATTGCTATTTTACAGAAAAGAGGACTAAAACTTCCAGAGTGGAAGTGGTTTGTCCAAGGTCCAAGGTCAATTGGTGGGCAGAGCATAGGTACCAACTTTTTTCAAAGATGGAAGGATAACGACTAATAATTTATTCAACCAACAAATATTTTGGGGGCACTTACTGTGCCTTAGGGAATATACTAAGAATTGAGGAGAGAGTGCCAGTTCAACAGTTAAAATAGGGCTGGATGTAGGCTTTGACGTCTGCTGGTGTCAAGTATATCTAGAAGTTGCAGGTAAATACAAGAACAAAAAATAAAATGATCAATTGAAAACTTTTTAAAGAGAGATTTTCTTTCCCTGGATCCCCTTCCAAACCCATGTTCCGTCCTGGAGTTATGTTCTCTGAAGGAAGTAAAACAGAAGGTCTCTAAGCCAGGGATCACTCAGCACAATGATTACCCAACACAGACAGTTGAGAAATCCCACCTACAGGCACAGACCTTCCAATGAACTTTTTAGGGCCCTACTTTGAAATATAAATGACAGCTAAGAGTCACCAAACATTTGAGAATGGCCTGTAATATAGTAGAGATCAAAACACAATAAAAAGTAAGGAGGAAATAAGATATATGTCATGAAATGTTTTATATATATATATATATATATATATATATATATATATATATATACACATACACATATACAAACCATTTTATATATACATCAATACATTACTGTATGTACATGTATATCTATATGTAGCTGTAGATAAATATTTGTATTTTCAGATAAAATTAGAAGATGTTGTAACATAAAAAATTAGAATAATCTGGGGCTGGGCATGGTGGCACACAATTGTAGTCCTAGCATTCTGGAAGCTAAGGTGGAAGAATCACTTGAGCCAGGAGTTCTCAACTGGCCTGGGCAACATAGCAGGACCTCATCTCAAAAAAAAAAAAAAAAAAAAAAAAAAAAAAAAAAAAAGTGCCATGTGTGAGTGTGCATCCTGTAATTCTCAGTCACTCAGGAGGCTGAGGCAAGAGAATCCCAAGTTCAAGGAAAACTTGGGCAATTCAGCAAGGTCCTGTCTCAAAATAAAAAATAAAAAGGGTTGAGGATGTAGCTTGGTGGAAGAGTTCTTGTCTAGCATGCATGAAGCACTGAGTTCAACCCCTAACACTGAAAAAAAAAAAAATTTAAAGAAAGAAAATGAGACAAATGATGAGAAAAATAGAGAAATAGTCAAAAAAAATAATAGAATAAGACTTCCATAAAGTTAGAGTCGAGGAAATGGAGAGGAGAAAACATAAAATGATAATTCAGTAACATTCATTGAGGATCCACTAGTGCCTAGTGAATATAAGTGGACCCACACCCAACCCACTCAGACCAATGAGGCAAAGAGAAGATACCTTGAATTAAAAAAAAAAAAGAACAAAACAGATTTCATTATAAAGAATCAGGAATCAGAAAGACATCAGACTTCTCCACAGAAACTTTGGAAATCAGAGTGGAGCAAAGCAGGGCGCAGTGGCACATGCCTGTAATCCCAGTGACTCATGAGGCTGAGGCTGATGCAGGAGGAGCACAGGTTCAAAGCCAGCCTCAGCAATTTAGTGAGACCCTAAGCAATTTATTGAGACCCTATCTCAAAATTTAAACAAAAGATAAAAGGGGCCAGGCGCAGTGGTATATGCCTGAAATCCCAGTGACTCAGGGGGCTAAGACAGGAGGATTGCAAGTTCAAAGCCAGCCTCAGCAAAAGCAAGGTGCTAAGCAACTCAATGAGACCCTGTCTCTAAATAAAATACAAAATACATCTTGGCTCAGTGGTCAAGTGCCCAGGAGTTCAATCCCCAGTACCAAAAAAAAAGATAAAAAGGTTAGGGTGTAGCTCAGTGGTTAAGTACTCCTGGGTTCAGTCTCTGGTACCAAAGAGAGACAGAGAGTGAATGAACAAACCCTTCCATATCATGATAGAAAATAAACCCCACCTAGAAGTCTGGTTCATCTGAGTAGAGGCCAGGTATAGGGTTACTGAAAGACTCTTGGATGTACAAAGATGCCTTCTTTCTCAAGATGCTGCTGGAGGAGGACACCAAAACAAGGATTTAAACCAAGATAGTGGAAGATAAACAGGAAAAAGTGGATGCAGCAAGAGGGAGTGAAAAGGGACCCTAGGGTGAAGCAGCAACAGCCACTGTGCAACAGGGCTGGGGTCCAGATGGAGGGCCAGAGTCTTTGAGAGAGACTGCTTTTAGACAAAATTAAGAATGTGTTTGATAGCTGGACTTCTGTAGTTCTAGCTACTTGGAGTCTGAGGCCCAGGAGTTTGAAGCCAACCTGGGCAACATAGTTGAGATGCTGTCTCAAAAAAAAAAAAAAAAAAAAGCCTAAGTATGCAAGGCTCTGAAGTTCTAATCCCCAGCGTCAAAAAATAAATAAATAAAGTACTGGAACACACAGTAAAGAAAATACATAGTTTGGGGATAGTTTGAGATAAATGAATGATAAATGCTTAGAAAACTAAGCAAATGTCTATATTAACTTCCAGGAGAAGAAAATGATGAACAGAAAGGGGGAAGTAAGAATGGCATAGCTCAACTGTGAATAGTATTTGCATAATTATAATGACATAAGTAATGAATGCATAACTTACCTAAAAGACATACTCAGAGGCTAAGGCTGTAGATTAGTGGTAGAGCACTTGCCTCGCATGTGTGAGGCACTGGGTTCAATCCTCAGCACCACATAAAAATAAATAAATAAAGATATTGTGTCCATCTACCACTAAAAAAGTATTTTAAAAAAATAGGGGCTTGGGTTGTGGCTCAGTGGTAGAGCGCTCGACTCACACGTGTGAGGTCCTGGGTTCGATCCTCAGCACCACATGAAAATAAATAAATAAAATAAAGATATCATGTCCAACTAAAAAATAAATGTTAAAAGAAACAATACATGGGAAACATTATTTAAAAAAATACATACCTATATTAGGAAGAGAAGAAAGTGAAGTATGTTTGTCTGATAAGGAGAAGGGAAGATGGGCAAGAGACTGGAACACTCTTCATCCACCTAAGGAGATCAGCAGATGCTTAAATTGAAAAATCTAGGGTAGCAATATATGTGTTAATTAAACCTACAAATATAAGACTGGTGCAGTGTGGCAGCCTCTAACCCCAGCAACTCGGGAGGCTGAGGCAGGAAGATTTCCAAGTCTGAAGCCACTTAGCGAGACCCTGTCTCAAAATAAAAAGTAAAAAAAGGGCTGGTAAAGTGCCTCAAAAGAAAAGAAAAGTAAAAAGGAAGAAATACAAAAACTAGTCGGTTAAAAGAGTTAAAAAAGTGTTGCCTCTGGGAAGCAGGAAATGTCGTGGCCATAATGGGCCTTTTAGAACTATTTGATTCTCTTAACTATGTGCCCCTGTTACTTTGATAAAAATAAAGGTTGGGCTAGGGGTGTGGCTCAGTGGCAAAGTGCTTGTCTCACACATGTGAGGCACTGGGTTGGATCCTCAGCACCACATGAAAATAAATAAACAAAATAAAGATATTGTGTCCATGTATAACTAAAAAAAAATTAAAAAATAAAAGTTAAGTTTAAAACAAATTTTTAGAAAAGGATCTCAGGAGTCGGTGTTAAAACAAGGCAGACAAAGTCCCCTTCAGGGACATGGAGAGCAAGTACCAAAATCTGTAAGGAGAGCAGAGTGTGTGCTGAGTTGTTGAGGGAAGGTGTATGAATTAACAGCAAAAGAATTTAATTACATCTGAGGGTCAGAATTTAAGCTGAGATCAGAAATATGAGCACCAGCTAGCTAGACAAGAGGACAGTAAGGGTTGGTGGAAGAGTATTCCGGGCAGAGGGAGCAACATGTGCAAAGGCCCAGAGATGAGCACATTCAGCAACACTGAAGAACTCAAGTGCAGAGTTAGTTCAAGGAGAAGAGACAGAACTGAAATGGAGCCATGGACCAGTGTTAGGAGGACCTTGGGGGCCATGTTAGGGGGTGGGCTCCAACMGGAAGAGTATTCAGCATGAGGGCCGTCCCAGGAGGCCTGCCTCGTGAGATGCTCTCTCTGGCTTTGGTG